GTGTGGGTTTTGACACCGTGGCAGAGTGGGACCACCTTGCCAAGCTGGTTTAGGTCAATAGGAGGGTGCTACCCTTTCAACTTGGGCAACTGGCACATCAGAGAGTGCCCTCTGGTGGCTGGAGGGAGGATGTGACTGAGCCTCAGGCCTGCAGTGAGGTAGGGCCAGTGTAGACTTCAGAGGAACACAGGGAGGGGTCTTGGGTAGGCCTCACAAGAGGAAAAAGTACTCGAAAGGAAAAGCTTGAGGGGCTTTGAGGACGAACGAAGAAGAGGGCTCGGGAGGCCAAGTGCTGTCAAAAACTGGAGGAGCGACCTCTGCAGTTTGGTGGGAAACTTTAGTGGTCCTCCGAAGCGCTGTGGCTCAGATGGGACTTTGCTCTTATCTCTGTTGCACAGATGAGGAACCACGGGCTGGTTGAGGCTGGCAGAGGAGGCAGGTGGAAGGTCTGGGCTTGGGCTTTGAGACACTCCTTTGAGCAGATTGCTTTCTCAGGCACCAAACCTAGGGCCTCCATTGCCTCTTCCCTTCTCATGCTCCAGACACTGGCCATAGGTGAGTGCCTATCGGAGCACCTGATCAGCCATGTTTCCATTGGTAGGGATTGCTGCGACAGCCTCTTGACAGGGTGCCTCTCTGGCCATGGCCCACCGCCTACCTCCTCAGTGCCAAGAATAGTATAGAATCCCTTTAGATGTGAAGTTAGAGCATATCATTCTGAGGGGCAGCCCAAGTCCACTCACTGGAGTCTCTCCCTCTCTCCCAGTTTCCCCCTCCTGTCTCACCCCAGCTGTGGACCTCAGCGCCAGTGGCTGTTTCTCTAAGAGCTCCCTCCCCGGGCATGCTCCTCTCTCTGGGCCTTTGCTCTTGTCTTCTCCCTGCCCCCCAGATACCCTCAGGGCTGCTCTTCTGCAGTGAACAGAAGGCTCCTGGGTGTTGGTCCCATGGGGCAGTGTGGGTGAGGTCTGTATTTTCCTCCTGCCTCAAGGCTTCATTTAGCCTCCTGCCTTGCAGAAGGGAGAGTCAGTGCCCTTGCCCTGAAGGAGGGAAGGGAGAGTCAATACCCTTGCCCAGAAGGGAGAGTCAGTTCTTGATGGGCGAAGATTGAAAAACCAGGTCAGCTTTTGCACCTCCCATCCCTCCCCAGGGGTCCTTGATCTTTCCTGGACCCTCCCCTCCCTGGATCTGTTTACTCTGCCCTGGTTTCTTTCCTGTTCCCTTTGGGTCTGCCTCAGCACGGCCACCCTTTCCTCTGCTGGGACCTGCCAGTGCCTCACGGTCTCCCAGCTGGTCATCTGGATTTCAGCTCAGTAGCCCCTCATCTGACCTTACCCCTGCACCGCATCCCCACCTCCACTTCTGAGCACCCTGTGCAGTGCCTCACTTATTTATCGCCAGCCTCACCTGGAGCCCAGGCTTCTACGACAGGGGCTATGGCCCCTGTTCTACAGGAGGTGGCCCTGAGGGAGGTGCCTGGCTCTGGACCTGCTGCAGATGAAGCGCTCATTTGCCAAGATTCCGACACGAAGTGGTATGTCAGCTACATGGAAACAGGAGGCGTAGCTGTGAGGTCTGAGGCCACCACCTCTCAAATGCAAATGTGTGCATGTGTGTGTGCATGTATGTGCCCAAATCTGTGTCCATGTTGAGATTCAGCTTAACCTGACTCTCTAGTAAGGCCACCTGGCTTCATTCACCTCGGTTTGCCTACAGTGCCTGGGTAGTTCTGGGAAATGGTGTTGCCACACCCAGAGAGGTGCCATGATTTGCCAGGCTCTGCCTAGTCCTTGCTTTTCCAGTTTCTGCCAGTGGGTGGTGCCATGGCCACATGCATGAGCTTGAGGGCCAACGCCTCCCAGGTTTCTTCTCGCAATATTACTAGGCAGTGTAGTGGGTGGGTAGGTGGGAGAGACTGAGCCTTGTGGATCAGAGTGGGAAGTCTAGGTTGGGAACCCCCCACCCAGTTGTTCTCTGGCCATGTTTTCAAAGAGGCATCTTATAGGTGTGGGACATGCCCAGGATTCCTCTTCTCGTCTGCCAGAGAGCAGGTGAGTTTTCATGAATGTGGGAGAGTAGTACAGGTGGAAAGAGTACAGGGGCCAGGGAGAGGGCTCAGTGGGTAAGAGCGCTGGCTGTGCAAACACGAGGACCTGCTCGACCCCCAGCACCTGCTGAACCCAGGCTGTGTGTGTCTGTAACCCTAGTGCTGGTTGTGGCTGCAGACAGGAGGAAGGCTGGGACTTTCTAGCCACTGGCATAGCCAAAAACAGTGAGCTCTAGGTTCAGTGAGAGACCCTGACTCAAAGTATAGGGTGGAGAGCAAAAGAGGGTGACTGTTCCTGACATCCTCTGGCCTTCCCATGTGTACATACACACACACACGGCTGGAACTGTCATCTGCCTGCCTGTAGTTGTGGGCAGCTTTTCCTTCTGTCTCAGCCTTGTCCAATGGGTAATGTGAGAATTGACTGAGAAGTGATGCCAGAGCTGGCCAGGCCCTCACAATCCCCCTCCCTTGCTCCCTGCCCAGCCCAGGGACAGCCCTCCCCCAAGTACCTCACCCTAAGAAAAAAGCTTGTTTCCAGTAAAAGTTCTCAAGAGCCCAGAGTGTTCCTTTGGAAAGCAAAGGCCAGTGAGGTGACCTAAGGTGCCTGAGGTGGTGATCAGGGCTTGATTCTTGAAAGGGTCTTTCAGCTGGATGGTACACACCTTTAATCCCAGCAGAAGCAAGCGGATTTCTTGAGTTCAAGGCCAGCCTGGTCTACATAGTGAGTTCCAGGTCAGCTGGAGCTACAGGGAGACCCTGTCTCAAAAAGACCAAAAAAGGGGTTGGGGATTTAGCTCAGTGGTAGAGTGCTTGCCTAGCAAGTGCAAGGCCCTGGGTTCAGTCCTCAGCTCTGAAAAAAAAAAGACCAAAAAAAGAAAGGGTTTTGGGAACGTATATTTTTTCCTTTACTTTGCCGGGGGTTCGAACCCACGATCCGCAGCGAGGTGAGGATTGTGGATGAGTAAGCATGCCATTCGGCAGCTCATGCTGTCCCCATTACCCGGGGACACTCAGACGCAATGAGGAGTCTAGTCAAGCAGGGACTCATTTATTGCAAGTGTTCCAAAGCTTATAAAGGCGCCTGGAAATCCTCTCCGCAGGGTATATCTTAAGGATGGTCACGCGCTGATCATGCACTCCTCAGCAGTGCGGAAGTGTTCTTCAGACTTTCAAAGCAAGCCAGGCTGTGCCCCCAGTAACTTCCTTTCGGACCTATACAAGGTGGGGCCTTTAGGTCCCCACAATATCGATATAAAATATTGGCTCCCTGAAGTGCGGACAGTGTTTGGCGTGAAAGTTTCTTGGCCATAGTACTGCTTATGTTACGTAGACCTGAGGTTGGTCCAAATCTAACAGAAGGAAAATTCTGTTCTGTTTGACCATTAAAAATAATTGTACAATGCAATGTCATGCAGAGGGTAGGGAAATGCTTAGGTTCCAGCCACAGTCAGAATGTGTCCTGCAAATTCCTATGTTGAAATCCTGGGGCTGGAGAGATGGCTCAGCGGTTAAGAATACTGGCTGTTCTTGCAGAAGACCCAGGTTTGAATCTCAGCACCCACATGGCAGCTAACAACTGTTCGTAACTCCAGTTCCAGGGGATCTGACACCCTCTTCTGTCTTCCTCAGGCACTGCAAGACACGGATGCACTTACCTACATGCAGGCACTACACACATACACATAAAATAAAAATAATAAAATGTTTAAAAAAAAAATCCTAACTCAAGGTGATCGTTCTGGAAGGCTCAGTGATTAGGTCTTCAGCTTTGTGAAAGGGTTCAGCGCCCTGTTTATTTGTTTAGTCTTTGTGGCACTGGGCCTTGTTTTGTACCACAGGTAGACCTTGAATTCACTGCGTAACCCAGTCCTCTTGTTTCTGTCTTACTGTGGGGATTACTGCTGGCATTGCAGGTTTATGCCAGCAGGCCATGCTCAGTGAGGGACCTTATGTTAAGAGACAGCAGAGTTCTTTTGCTCTTCTGCCATGGACCAGAAAGAAGGTCCTCACCAGACGCCAAATCTCTTTGTGCCTCAATCTTGAACTTCACAAAGCTGTTGTTTGGAGCCCACCCAGCTTACAGTATTCTGTTTCTGTAGCCCGAGAAGACTTGTAGACAGACGGGGGGCCAGGCAGCCTGCCAGCATCCACCATCTTGGACCCCACCACGAGGCTGGCTGTGTCTGATCAGAGCACTCACACTGGCCAGGCAGCCTACCCAGGGCTCCCAGGTGACTGGAGGCACACCTGGTGCCTGATGCACTTTAATTAATCATGAGTGGGTCCTCTTTTAGAGGATCCTAAAAGGAAAGGGAAGGGAGGGGAGGGGAGGGAAGGGAAGGGAAGAGAAGAACAGTGATTGCAAAGACAGGGCCAGTGCTCTGGACTTCCTTAGGTAGCCTCCCCCGTCCCCACACACCCTGTGGGCTGGTTCTTTTGGTACCCACATTTTGCAGATGGGACCTAGATGGTGACATCGTTGCAGATTACTTTGAGAAAGATCAGAATGTGAAAGTATTTAGGAAGTGCACTACCGTCTGAGACTAGTCCTGATGGACCGGGAAGGAGACAGCAGAGCCTGTTCTTAGGAAGGAGCCGGAAGGACCCAGAGAGCCAGCACTGCTTTTTGGAAGGGAGGAACGTCCCCCTTTTCCACTTTGCTGCCCAGGGCTCCTGTGAGTTGGTGTGTGCTTTTCCCCATTTGCTCTAAGCAATGAATATTTACTATAGAAAGTAAGACCTGGCACTGGTGACCGCAGGGCTCCGCCTCACCCAGTACCTGCTCTGAGGTGCATTCTGGGGTTTCTCTCCCCTTGGATGTGCGCCATTACTCAGCTGTGGTGTTTCATGGTGAGGAGCAAAAACAGAGGCAGCTTTCCGGGAGCTTCTCAGCGGGGAGGCCCCGTGGACTGGACCTGGTGGGTTATAATCTTTGTTTTGTTGGTCTTTGCAGGAGCGTTGTGTGGCTGCCCTGGCTCGGGTGGAGCGCACCGACTTCCTGTCGCCCATGTGTATCGGTGAAGTGGCTCACGTCAGCGCAGAGATCACCTACACCTCCAAGCATTCGGTGGAAGTCCAGGTCAATGTGATGTCGGAAAACATCCTCACAGGTGACTCCCTCCCCCGAGTGTTTCTCACCAAGCTGCCTTGGCTGAGAGCCCCAGACGACATCCCTGCTCATGAGGGTCATGACACAGCTTGCTCATACATCAAGGGGCGACCATGCTCAGAAACTGGCTGCTTCTCTCACACACCCTGTGGTGGATCCACAGGTTTGCATTTTGCAGAGGGAGTACACAGATGGGCTGCAAAGCAGGCTTGAGATGCTCCGCAGCCAGAGCAGGATGCCAGCGCTCCTCCTTCCTGTGGCCAGCTAGTCCGTGGCAGGGTGGGAGGGGCCCTGTCTGTGCCTCCTGCTTTCCTGCTTTTCTGGAGCGCAGCTGGCCTGGCTCTGCAGAGGGTGCTGGGAGGATCTGTTCTGCCAGCTAGAAACCAGGCCTACACGGAAGCCTGGGTGAAACTTTGCCCCTGGTTCATCTCCACCTTCTCCTGGGCTATGGTAACCATGGAAACCACTCTTGTCTTCCCCCTCGCACCACAGGAGAGCGAAGCTCCTTCTCGCAATTTGCTCAACGCTTCCTTTTATAACCCAGCTGGTGAGAGGAAGACAAGCCCCTCCCCTGCTCTGGCCTTACTGCCGCTCGGTGGTCCCATGCCCTGTGGAGGCTGGGCTGGTTCGTTCCTCTTCCCCTTCCCCAGTTCCTCTGCAGTGGAAGACCTGTAGAGTGCCAGCTCAAGTCTTCCTGGGATGGGCTAGGAACAGTTATTAGTTATTCATCTGGAACACACCGATGAGCTCAGCAGGGATGGATTAGAAGGGGCTGTGCCGGCCCTGCTTCTACCTGCCGAAAGGCTTGCTGAGTGAGCCTGGGTGGAGGGGTTGGCCAGGGTTCTTGACTTAAGGGCATCAGATGGCTTCTCGGATGCTGGTACAGGAAGTGGGGGCAGCTGCTCACCACTCGAGGAAGGCAGGCCTGGTGCAGGCTGGGGTGTCTGTCCTGTGGGTGCCCAGCCCTTCCTCTGCTGGGCCAAGCTGGGGTGACTGTCACTCTGAGCAGGGGAGAGGCTCTTCAGCACTTCTTGGTCTTCACCCTTGTTTGTAACCAGCCATCTTGGCAGCCAGCTGGTCTTTTCACTGTGGGATCCTTTGGCTTCAGAAAGGGTTGGCAGGGGTGGCAGGGGTCTGCCTTAATAGATTCCTGCCTCATCTGGAACCACAGGGGCCCATTGGCCAGAAGGACACTGCAGTGTGTAAGGAGAGAGGCAGGGCAGAAAGGTGTTCTGGGGCTTTGAGAATGCTAGTGCCCTTGGCCCTACAGCAGAGAGTGGTCTAGCCCATAGGTCAGGGGTACTAGGGCTAGCCATCTGCCCTTGCTCACAAGCCTCCTCCTGGCACCCTCTGTGAGCAGCTGAGTGGCCAGTGAAGACACTGACTGGGCATCAGAGGAGCTGCAGGTTTAGGCTCCAGGATGGATGCCCCAGAGGGTTCTGATGAGAAGACATGGCCTCACGTCCTTTTAAGGAAGCCTCATGCCTAGGGCAACAAGACAGCCTTCTCCACGCCCTCCCCATACCTCCCTCAGAGTCCCTTTCTGCCCTGAGGGGTGGACACTGAGGGTCTGGACTGCCCAGGAGGGAGGGGTCAACCTTGATGGGCAGAAACAGTGCTGGTACTACCTTCTGGGACTCAGAGCAGGTGCTGTTTCCTTGTTGTATCCAGGGAAGGGAGCACCTGGCAGCTTTTCTCAGTGGGACAAGGCTCAGCCTCCAGTCCTCCCTGCTCCCCCTCCTCCCCTTCAGTCCTCCCCCTCCCCCCTCCTCCAGTCCTCCCTGCTCCCCCTCCTCCTCCTTCAATCCTCTCTGCTCCCCTTGCCCTGAGGGGTGGACACTGAGGGTCTGGACTGCCCAGGAGGGAGGGGTCAACCTTGATGGGCAGAAACAGTGCTGGTACTACCTTCTGGGACTCAGAGCAGTTGCTTTTTCCTTGTTGTATCCAGGGAAGGGAGCACCTGGCAGCTTTTCTCAGTGGGACAAGGCTCAGCCTCCAGTCCTCCCTGCTCCCCCTCCTCCCCTTCAGTCCTCCCCCTCCCCCCTCCTCCAGTCCTCCTTGCTCCCCCCTCCTCCTTCAGTCCTCCCTGCTCCCCCTCCCTCCTCCTCCAGTCCTCCTTGCTTCCCCCCTCCTCCTTCAGTCCTCCCTACTCCCCCTCCCTCCTCCTCCTCCAGTCCTCCTTGCTCCCCCTCCCTCCTCCTTCAGCTCAGCCTCTTCCCTGAGTCACGGGTAGGGACAGCATGGTCTCCAAGCCTGGGGAGAGGGCTTGGATTCTCTCCATGTCTTGGACAATTTGCCCCGAGCCCGTTGTTATAACTAAGTCTGGCACTCCAGGGCTCTCTCTCTCTCTCTCTCTCTCTCTCTCTCTCTCTCTCTATCTGCCCCTGTGTTCACTGGAAGATGAGCCTGTGAGGCCTTGTTTGTAACCATCTGCTCTTTACACACCCTGTCTGAATGGGCAAGTGACCCCAGCACTGGGGCTGGGGGGCCAGGGGGCACTCCCAGGGCTGAGCCCCAGCGAAGGCCGAGCCATGATACTATTGGCATGACCTTTCACCCAGGAGCAAAACCCTCAGTCGCCACGCATGCACCCCTCTCTCTGGGCTGAACTGCTGTTCAGAGTCAGCTGACTAAACAGAGGCCTGGCCCACCACCTTCCAACCTTTGCCTTGAGACACCATTTGTTCATCCTGTCACGGTCTGATGCTAACGGGTGTGATTCTTCAGGGAGTAGCTGGGGCTCCTGGGGCTTGAAGATGTTTATAGTAATGAAGCAGTGCTGGCGGTGTGCCACCAATGGGTGGAGATCCAGTTAGCATGTTGGCCACATTTTGCTCAGTGCTGTTCATTTAGGTCTAGCAGGCCACTTAGGTTTCCATGGAAACCAGCTCTTCAGGCTGGCTCTAGCCGAGTCCATCGGGAAATCTTTATTCCCAAAAGCAGGTTGTCAGATTCACTCAGTCAATGCGTGGGGAAAATATTTTCCCATAGTATCTGCCTGTGGTTCCCAGGCATGGGAGGCCACAGCCTTGTCCTGGGGTGCCACGTGTCTGGGTGGGGCTGAAGGTCTGCCACTTGTAATAGGAGGGCCCTTGTGGGACTCACTTTGATTGACCCTTCCAGGGGCTGTTTGGTGAGGACCTCAGGGAGGCCCTAGGTTCCTACTGGGAAGGCAGGTTAGAGGTGGCTGGGCAGCTCCTACCCCAGGGTAGCAGAAGCCGCCCTTGCAAGGACCCCCTTGCCTCCTGCAGTCTTGCTGCCCCTGTTGTATGCTGGACACCTTTCATGTTAAAAAGCATGCCTTTAAAGGCGTGCCTGCAGGTAACTGAAATGGCTGAGCAAAGCTCTTGACCTCTCTGTGCTTCAGGATTCTCTTAGATAAGTGGGGCCAGGATAACAGTGGTCTATGGGTTTCTTGGCACCAAAAACCCACAAGCTGTAACAGCCTTGATAGGCTTTTCCGTCTCAGCAGCTTTACTCTGTTCCATTTCGGGGCTCAGAACCCCATGGAGTCTGAGGCCCACAGCCCCTCTTGTGGCCCTTGGGAACTCTGGATTGGAGCTTTGAATTGTAGCATGGATCTGCGTGGGGGAGCAGATAGGGAGGAAGTGACTGGCGCCAACACCAGTCCTTTGGAGTGGTGCCAGGCCTCTGCTTTGGGCCCTGGTTGGCACTGCCTGCCCCCTACGTCCTTAGGGCCTGTCCTGCTCTGGCATACTTTCCATGTGCCATGAGCCTTGGCAGTATGCACCCCTCAGGCTGCCTGCCTTTCTGGACTTTCCTGCTGGTGAGACTTATGTAGCATTTGGACAGATGGACAAATCTTCTAGAAGATTCCTACTGGTCAGGCTCCCCAGCAGCAGTGAGCTGTGACACTCAGCATCTATTGGTAGGGACTTGGACCAACAGTACAGTGGCTTGACCTGGCCTCCCCAGCCCTCCTGTGTCCAGTACGTCCTTCCTCTGCTGGGAGGTTCATGGAGATCTCTGATAGATCTCAGTAGAAACCTCTGACAGGTGTTGGCAGCCATACCCCATTTCTGTGAAAACAGCCTTAGGGGATGTGGTCTGCTGTGCTTTCAGTGGCCTCTGTAAAGGGAGAGCTACCATGGGCGTGCGGTGGGTGAGAGGGGACTGAGGTCCTGGGCCCACAGAGCCCCTCCTTGCTCGTGGGGCTCTGGTTGTGCATCCACTCTTCCAGGATGGCAGTGACCTCAGGCCAAGAGGCTGGATTGGGGCCCAGAGGCAGCAGTGTTTCATCCCCTGGGATGCTCAGGGCTTGGGCCAGCACTTGCCCAATGTGGCTGTCAGTGTGGCTGTTCCCAGGCATCACTCATGTGGTTGTTTTCTTCTTCTCTTAAGGGACCAAAAGGCTGACCAATAAGGCCACCTTGTGGTATGTGCCCCTGTCACTGAAGAATGTGGACAAGGTCCTCGAGGTGCCCCCTGTGGTGGTAAGGCGACTCCTTCACTTGTTTCTTGGGGGCAGATGCAGAGTCTGGGTCCTCAGAGTCCTGGAGGACCACCCAGCCGTGGAAGCATTCTAGAGGAACAGCAGGTGGACTGTAGCACCTGGGGTCTGGGGGTCTGGCAGAGCCTCTGTAGTTGGTGGATGGACATTGACACTGAGTTCTTGCCCCGGGTAGGTGGTGGTCTCTCAGTGCCTGTGCAGCTAACTGTCCCTGGAACGTGCCTGCCAGCTGTTAGATCCATGTCAGGATGTCCCTCTGTCATACTTGCTGACAAGGACTGTGATGCATGCTGTGTCCTGCTGAGAGTCAGGACCACCTAGTCAGCTGGGCCAGGCCTACTGCTCCCGCTATGTGGCCTGAGAGCACGATTTCATTGCAGCCCCTGGTGCATCCGTGTGAGGACTTTGTCTCATGTGAGGCTTGCCCTCTTCCCCTACTGCCCCTTCTGGCATCTGCCTCCTCGTCTTTTGGGTGTCTCATTTGGTTTCATTGTGGACAAAATCCCCAATAGAATGAGAAGAGTCCATGGTGTCCCTGGGGCCACCACAGGCCGGTGGATACCATGTTAGAGACGCAGACATCTGTCACCAGCGCCTCCCAAGGCTTGGCCTGTGCTTGCTGCCCTCAAGCACCAGAAAAGAGTGTGTTGCCAGCTGGGAACTTTCTCGGGTGGTTGGGATTCGTGTGAAACGTGCTTTTAGGAAAGAGGAACTGAGAACCGAATGGTCAGGATTGGGGTCTGCTCTCTGCTCTCAGACCCGCCAGAGACATGGGGCACTGCTGATGCCTGGGGCCCTTGTTCCTTCGGGGGTTCTCGCTCCCCACAGGTGAGAGACCACTCTTGGTCTTCCATCTGCTACCTTCCCACTGGCCAGCACCCCACCCTCTGCCATCTCACTTTCCTCCTGCCTTTCCTGGGCTCCTCTGGCTCCTCGGCTTCAGTGGAAATAACGCTTTTTGAGCAGCGCTGACTAGGACTCGGACCTTAGGAGCTACGAGAGCTCACACATGTTCTCACTCCAACCTTGGAGTCCAAGGTGGCAACTCTATCAAGTCCTACGTAAACTCTGCTGCACAGTGCTCTTCGGCTGTGTGGCTGCAGCGTCCTGTGATGTCTTCCAGGGATTCCTGGATGGAATACAGGCTGCCGCCATCTTTACACTTGTCAGGGCCACAAGTCTGAACCCGCGCAGCAGTGCAGGTAGCCAGAAGACCCTGGCTTTCAGCCCCTCGCTGCAGGCACAGGCTCTCTGCACACTGTTGCCCTATTCCTTGCCAGTCACGGGTGCCCAGCACGTGCTGGAGGAGCCCCGCAGCCTTTCCATCTCCTTTGTGTGCTGGGGTTGATGACACATAAATATCAGTTGGGCTTCATGGAGGAGTGTGTTGAAACTGGGCCACCAAACTGAGGCCAAGGGGACCAAGAGGGGAGAACATGAGCCCCCGCTGCAGCAGCTACTGGGGTGTTCCAAGCTTCTCCCACATGTGCCAGGTCTGCAAAGCGGGAGCCATCAGCTCATTGGGAATGTAGGCGACTGTTTGCCCTGGCAGGCCCCAGTCGAGACCTGTCCAGACCCTGGAAAGCTCAGCCTCCTTCCCTGACTCTGGGAGATGGGTGTGCTTGTGAGCACATGTAGGCGCATCTGCAGGGAGCTGCACCTCAGGCTTCGGATGCCACCAGGAATCTCCTGCCAGCCTTTCGTGGAGCGGCATTCATTCACAAAAAGCATGGCTCTGTGTCTGTAGATACGGACATGTGTAACACACACACACACACACACACACACACACACACACAATTTCCCAGGTGTGGCCGCTTGACTCTTGGGAGTGTGTCACTTTTGTATATCATGTCTTTTTGGCAGGAGTACAGCTTTCCCTGTGTTGATTAAAAGAAGCCACCTTGCCAGGTGTGGTGGCGAACACCTTTAGTCCCAGCACCCGGGAGGCGGAGGTGGGCGGATCTCTGTGAAATTGAGGCCAGCCTGGTCTACATAGCAAATTCCAGACCAGCTGGGGCTACAGGAAGACCCTGTCTCAAAAAGACGAAAAGAGGCCACGGGGAGCGGGGTGGGGTGCTAGGCTGGAGGCCCTGGTAGTGCATCCTGTCTTCCCCCCAGTACTTCACTGGACTCGCTTCGGGAAGTCCTCAGGCCCACAGCCATCCGCTGCTTTGGACCAGCCTCTGATAGGTCCTCGAGGCCGGGCGAAGGGCTAGCCTGACATCAAAATTCACCAGCATGCATGAGGAGGCTGGGCTTCTCTGTCTGTTGGGATGGGGTCCAAGGCTAACTCCTTAGTCTCAAGGCTCTTCATTAAAAAACTAATTTTTCTTCCTCCTTTTAAAGTTTTTTTGAGGGGTTACATTTTATTTATTGATTGGTTGATTGTTTGAGTGTGTTCATGCATTCATGTATGTAGAGGTCAGAGGACAACTTACAGGAGTTAGTTCTCTCCTCCCACAGTGTATGCCCAGGGATTGAACTCAGGTCGTCCGGTTTGGTGGCAAGTGCCTTTACCTGCTGAGCCACTTTGCCAGCCCATTTTTGTTTTTGCTTTCTTTGAGACAAGGTATATGAGTTACTTTTCTGTTGCTGTGATAAAACACTGTGACCAAGGCAACTTACAGACAGAAGAGTTTGGAAGCGTGTGGTTCCAGAGGGAGAATCCATAATGGCGGCAGAGGAGGGGAGCACGGAGCTGAGACTCACATTTCATAAGTCAGGCAGGAAGCAGAGAACAAAACTTAAAGTAGCACAAGGCTATCAACCCTCAAAGCCCAGCCGCCCCCAGTGACGCTTCCTGCAGCCTTCTCCACACCTCCTCGAGGTGCCACAACCTTCCCCAAACAGCACTACCCCTGGGACATGTACCAAGCGTTCAAGACTTGTGTCTGTGGAAAACAGTTCTCATTAAAACCTCGCGCAGCTCTGGCCAGCCCGGAACTTTGTACATCAGTCTGCCCTTGAACTGACAGAGATTCACCTGCCTCTGCTTCCTGAGTGCGGGGTCAAAGGTGTGCGCCACCACGCCTGGGCCTGTTTTTGTTTTTTCAGATGAGGTCTTCTTATGTAGTCCTGGCTGGCTTTGAACCTATACCAGTCCTCCCGCCTCAGCCCCCCAAGTGCTGGGATTACAGTTGTCAAACCACTATGCTTTGCTTTTTAGGGGGGGGAGGGGTACTGAAGCTGGAACCTAGGACCTTGTACACACTAGGCAAAAATCTCCGGATGGCATTTCCAGATGAAGTTTAGTTCTCAAGAATTGACACAGAACAGGCCCTGTTCTTGCCGTTAGTATGCTGGACGATGGGCATCAGGAACTAGTTCACTTCCAGGTGAATAGGTTGACCAGCTACCAGAGCGTCAGCTGTTCTCTGCTGCGGAGCTTGGCTTGTTTCTTTTGAACAAACCTCTCAGCTCCCTCCTCAGCCTTCTGCAGAGAAGGGCTTGTCCAGAATGGTGCTCACACCTACTCCGCTGGGGCCTGGAGTTGGGACCATGGCTTTAGAAAGAAGACTCAAAATGAATGTGTGTAGATCAGAGGGGCTATAGCAGATAGAGGAGGCCAGAGGGCTGAGTGCTCACTGAGGGCAGGCACAGAAGGCGAGTAGCCAGGAAGTGATCATCGTAGAGGACAGGAAGTGGTCATAGAGGACTGGGTTGAGAGGAAGGGGCTGCCTCTGATGGCTCAGAGGAGAGAGCTCCTAGCTGAGGGCAGAGAGAGGAGTCAATCCCTGCCTGGGGTCAGCACCCAGGACCCCAGGCCCCTTCGAGTGTCTCATGGGGAGGAAGCATGGGCAGTATGGTGTGTTCCCTGCCATGGCCAGGAGCTGCTCAGTGGCCCACTGCTGTTACATGTCCCCATCGTGACCAGGACTGAGAGGCCTTGGCTTGTATATCCGGTTTTTAAAAAACTACTATTTTTATTTTATGTGTGTGTGTGTATTGCCTACATGTATGTAAGTGCACCTGTGTTGTGCAGTGTTCACAGAGGTCAGAGGAGGGCATCAGATTCCCCTGGAACTGGAGTTACTGATGGTTGTCAGCTGCCATGTGGGTGCTGGGAATCGAGCCCAGGTCCTCTGCAAGAGCAGCCCGTGCTCTTAACCACTGAGCTGTCTCTCCAGGCCCCATCGTGTATCAGAGTTTATATTCCTGGGCCCAAACTCCCATAATCCATCTGGAGCGTCAGGGGCTGTCTCAGCCTCGCTGCCTGTCTCTGTGGAGGTGCTGCCCGTCTTCTGGGTGGTGGGCAGCACAGGTGGCAGCTGGGGTCGGGGCCCTTGTGACCCTGGGATTCTGCAGCTTTATGTTTAGGAGTGGGACCGTGCAAAGTGATAAGGTGTGGCCAAGGATCTTCTGTAACATTACCTTTAAGAAGGAGAATCAGTTAAATGGCCAGTGATGACGGATCAGTCACATAGATCACATTGCAGTGGATTAATGAAATGGCTTCTTCAGCTCCCGAGTAGGGTAGTAGACTTTGTATATATTTGCAGGTATGAAGGACTTGACTCTGTCGTCCACTGGTTGTTCTGCATGGGTTGGGGCCTGGCATGAGATTTTTCATCTGCTCCATGTCCTTGTTACTTAGTGGTCATGTCATCAGAGGAAATGGGACAGCCCAGTTACCAAATAGATGACATGGTGTCCATGGCCCTGACCTAGAGGAAAGCCCTCCCTGTCCCTGACCCCACTGTCTGTCTTCCTCCACACAGTATTCCCGGCAGGAGCAGGAGGAAGAGGGTCGGAAACGCTATGAAGCCCAAAAGCTGGAACGGATGGAGACGAAGTGGAGGAACGGGGACATCGTCCAGCCTGTCCTTAACCCGGGTAAAACTGGGGCTGGGGACAGAGGGTGGGTGGCAGTCACCGGTGGCAGGTGCCATTCCTCCCCATGCCTCTCCAGTCACAGGAGCTCACTGGCTTTCGGTCACTGTCCTCTAAGTTCAGGTGTTGAATGATCTCCTAGAGCTGGGTTTTGTGCTTGTCCTACCCCAAGCCAGGCAGGCCCTGTAGCGCAGGGAGAGGTGGCATGGGCACCTCTGGGCATTGGGTGGACTGCCACGCTTGTGCTTCCATGCTCTCAGCAGAGACCCGTTGCTTGTTTACAGAGCTTTTGTTTCATTAAATCTTATCTTTTGGGGCTGGAGAGATGGCTCAGCGGTTAAGAACACTGGTTGTTCTTGCAGAAGACCCGGGTTTGAATCCCAGCACCCACATGGCAGCTTACAGCTGTCCGTAACTCCAGTCCCAGGGGATTTGACAGCCTCTTCTGACCTCTGTGGGCATTGCACAACACGGTGCACTTACCTACATGTAGGCAGTACACGCATACACATAAAATAAAAATGAATAAATAAATTAAAAAAAAAATCTTATCTTTCTTTTGGGCTTTTGGGTTTGGGTTTGCTCAGGAACTTTTTTTTAAAAGCAGGGCTTTGCTATGGTACACTAGGTAGCCTGGAATTTACTACCGAGACCAGGCTGACTTGAACTCATAGAGATCTACCATCCTCTGCCCCACCAAGTGCTGAGATTAAAGGCATGTGCTACAATACCCAACCAGGAACTTTTTTTTTTTTTTGAGGGAAGAAAGGATTTATTTGGCTTAGGACTTACAGTCCATTAAGAGGGGCAGGAACCTGGAGGCAGGAGCTGAGGCGGAGACCATGCAGGAATGCAGCTTCCTGGCCTGTGCTCAGCCTGCTTTTTTTTTTTTTTTTAATTTAATTTTTAATTTTTTATTGAATTTTTGTGTATTTAATGCAGAACATCTTTTTTAAATTTTATTTTTTAATTTTTTTGGGGGGGGTCTTTTTGAGACAGGGTCCCCCTGTAGCTCCAGCTGTCCTGGAACTCACCATGTAGACCAGGCTGGCCTAGAACTCAGAGATCCGCCTGCTGGGCGTGGTGGTGCATACCTGTAATCCCAGCACTCGGGAGGCAGAGGCAGGTGGATCTTTGTGAGTTCTAGGCCAGCCTGGTCTACATGGTGAGTTCCAGGACAGCTGGAGCTACAGGGGGACCCTGTCTCAAAAAGACCAAAAAAAAAATTTATTATTTTTATTTTATGTGTATGTATGTATTGCCTGTATGTAGGTAAGCACACCCATGTCATGCAGTGCCCTCGGAGGTCAGAAGAGGCTGTTGGATCCCCTGGTACTGGAGTTACAGACAGTTGTTAGCTGCCATGTGGGTGCTGGGATTCAAACCCGGGTCTTCTGCAAGAACAGCCAGTGTTCTTAACCACTGAGCCATCTCTCCAGCTCCCCATACAGAACATCTTAATCATCTTTATACCCCCTTCCCCATTGACCCTTCCTATAGCCCCCAACTGGAATTCATACATTCTGTCATAGACCTATCATATCAAGTTAGTGTCCCCAAACATCCCTCAGTGCAAGCTCATCCACTGAGGTCTAGTTGGCCGATCTAGAGTCCCTCCCTTTAAGAAGATCAGCTCTTCCCTACACAGTGAGACCTTGCCAACAGTTCTTTGGCTAAGGTTGAGGCCTGCTGCCCGTTTCCTCAGTCCTATGCTGGGTTTTTGTCTGATTAAGTTTACATGGTTCCTGTGCATGCTGACACCACTGCTGTAGGTTCATACGAGGAGGGTCCCAGGAGCTTGTAGGACTCTATTTCCCTATGGTCATGCACCTCCTCCCTGGCTCTTAAAATCTTTCTGCCCCCTCTTCCACAGTGGTCCCTGAGCCCCGGGTGGGTGGATTTTAATACAGGAGTCCTGTCCAAGGACCCACACTCTGTAGACACTTATTTTATATTTCGGCCATTTGTGACCCCTGGCCTCTGTTGCATGAGGGAGCTTCGTTGATGAGAATTGAAAGATGCATTGGTGTTCTCTTCATCCCTTGTTCTGTGTTCTGTGAGCCTTAGGTGTAGAGGTTGGATCCTAGATGTGCCACTTAGCCATGGTTCATATGTGGAGGTCAGAGAACAACTTGTAGAAGTAAGTTCTCTCCCTCCAACATGTGAGTCTCACGGATCAAACTCAAACTTGGCAGCAGGCATCTTTACCTCCTGATCCATCTCACCAGCCCATTATCCTGTTTCTTTACAGTTTCCATAATATTAAAAACTTGTTGTTTGGGGGCAAGAGAGATGGCTTAGCAGTTAAGAGCACTGGCTACTCTTGCAGAGGGCCTGGGTTTGATTCCCAGCACCCACATGGTAGCTAATAATCTGTAATTCTAGTTCCAGGGAATTCGATGCCCTCTTGGCCTCTGTGGGCTTTGCATGAATGTGGTGCATTTACATACATGTAGTCAAAACACTTATACATATAATATATAAATAATTTAAAATAATAATAAAAATGAAATATAGGGCTGGTAAGATGACTCAGCAAGCAGGTCGAGGTCCTTGCCACCAAGCCTGATGACCTGTTCGATCCCCAGGATCCACATGGTGGAATGAGAGAACTGACTCCTGCAAGTCATTCTCTGATGCCAAATGTGTGTTTTGGTTCAAACATGCATGCACACATGCCCAGTCACATACAATACATAAATATTTTTTAAAAGCTTAAAAAATAAATAAAATAGGAAAAGCAACTTATTGATACAAGCCTAGAGGTCTTCTGATGGCTGAGTCAAGACCCTGGGGCACATGCCTTGGGGAAGGGCAGGGCAGGGCCAACAGACTGAGGAGTGATGTGACCTGAGGGAGAGGGTGTCCGGCAAGTGTCCACATTCACATCCCTCATGGGGAAAAGAGCCTTTGCAGGGGTGATGAGTATCTTGTGACCACCCTGGGGTGCCCATGTGTGCCCTGAATCTATGACGAGATGAAAGGACAGCAGCCATGCCAGCAGCAGGCAGAGGGGACAGGGAAGGCACTGGGTGACTTGGGGCGAGCTGGGGTAGGAGCGTGATGGCCCGTCTCCTCTCGGGCTTGTTGGTGTGGTGTGCCTTTGTTCTGCCGTGTGGTGCTGGGGTAGAAGCCAGGCCTTGGGTATGTTAGGCAACACCTGACTCTGAGCTACATCCCACACTCCTCCGCCTGGTACTGAGGACCAAGGCTAGATCCAGGGTGCTACTCTACTCTCTGTCCATCTAGGAACCTGGAATTACTCAGTCCTGTCAGTCAGTTTAAATTCCCTTACTCCTGAGAGCATGTTCCATTCCTTCCTGTGAGATTATAAATGTATGTAGTAATTTCAGAATCCGTTACTGTCCAGTGATGGTGATTGAAGTTGGTGTTGTAAGCCTCAGGACTTGCTGATGGCTCTTTATGTGCTGTTTTTCTGTCAGCTGATTGGATTTGAGTTGCAGCTCTGGGACGCGTCTTACGGGAGTCACATGCCCCACCTTTATTCCTTTTTCTTTTTCATCTTTTCCATTTTTTGAGTAGTAGGGATTTAACCCAAGGCCTCACACAAGCTAGCACATGTCCCACCACCAAGCCAGCTCCCCACTCCTCTAGTCTTTTGGATGTCGATATTTTGACTTCAGTTTCCTGGTAGGACTGTCCTATTCTTGTGGGTCTGAGCTCTCCTGGGCCTGTTCTAGTGCCTATTTGGTGGCTTATCCTGGGTGAGTGGGCCGTCGGGGTGCTGGGTCAACAGGCTGTGCCTGAAGACAGCACATGCACACACTAGCATCTGGTTCTTTCCGAAGGCATCTGTTATGTGACTTTTTCTGGGAACACCTGAACAAACCAGATAGGGTACGGAAGAAGCAGTTCCACTCAAGTCTAACTTGGTGAGCCAGTTGATTTAATTGGCATTATTTACAGGAGTGTGGGTGAGGGGTTGCTGATTTACAGGAACATGGGCAGCGTATGGGCAGCTGTACACCTCTCCTTCCATACTGTTAGCCACTATGTTCACCACGTCGTGGGCAGCCCTGTGAGACTTCCCCTTCCATGTTGAATGTTGGTGGGCTCAATTTTGTGAGGGTTTCATGTGGGTAATCACAACTGTTTTTATTTCACGATGGCATAGCCATGCCTGGTTGGAGGACAGACTTCCACAGCAGTAGAATGTGAACTACCCCCACCCTTTGGCCTCACCCCCATTGGCCTCAGAAACCAGAACCTGGGCTCAGGCAATGTTGCCTAGCAACCTCTGGGCCACCTGTCTTTCAGGGGCCTTAAGGAGTCTGCAGGTTCTTTAGAAGCTGGCTTTCTGTGTTGTTTCTCTGTCTGACCAGAGAAGACGGCTACTTTTGAGCTTTCAGATTGATGACCATTAGCCGCCCAGCTTTAACCCTGTTTCTAGGACTGTTGGGTTTGTAATGAAATCAGTTACTTCAGACACGATCAAGTGCTCTCCTCCCTGGTTTTTTTTTTTTTTTTTTGGTCTTTTTGAGGCAGGGTCTCCCTGTAGCCCCAGCAGCTGGCCTGGAACTCACTATGTAGACCACGCTGGCCTTGAACTCAAAGAGATCCACCTGATCTACCTGCTTCCCTCTGCCTTTGCCTCCTGAGTACTGGAATTAAAGGCGTGTGACACCACACCCAGTTCTTGACCTGGAATAGGATTCACTTCCCAGTCTACCCCCTACCCCAGCCAGGGCAGCAGGGGTCTTGTCAGGTCACCCAGCTCCCAGTCCAGGATTGAGATCTGCTGGGGAGGCCCTCAGGCGGATCTTCCAGAACCACCCCCTGGAGGGCAAGAGCTGGTCAGCCTGGCTGTCAGGCTCAGTCCTGCATCTGAAGTACTTCTCTGACGTCTGTGGTCCTCTAGACCAGCTTGATCCCAGTCTCGTCCATACTGGTCTTGGGGGGAGTATGGTATGCAGACAGGAGGGAAGGTTCTGGAATTTTGCTGGGGTTTCAATCCCAGCTCTGCTACCTCTGGGCATTTCACC